AGAATAAATATTTATTTTGTAATACTTTGAACAACAAAATAGATGTGATAAAAATTAATAGTTTTTGTCTACAAATAATACTCTTTGCTTGAACTTTATAGTGCAATTTGAAGTGTATTATCTGAATTAATACATCAGCTTGGTAGGAGAAAACAACCTTTGCATTCTTTGTAAGGAACTGAAGATCCAGGCTTTCTTCTGGAGGAATACAGACCCATAATAGCTGTGATTACATGATGAGAATGCTCCATGTTTACCTCGTTGTCACTGACTCGTGCTGAGATATCTTCCAAAAAAGCATGCTGCTTGCATTGACCTTCTGGAAAACAGCACTGATGTCTTAATTTTTTAATATTTTTAAGAATCTTTCCACTCCTCTCCAAATAGGTTTTTGGATGTTTTGTTGCGTTTGGTTTTTTGTTGTTGTTTTTTTTTTTTTTGTGTGTGTGTGTGTTCATATTTTATAGACTTCCAACGCAAATCTGATCTGAGGAGTAAAAATAACCTCTTAAGTCAGCTAGCTCAATCCACCACGAGCCCCTGTCTGCCACTGAGGTGGGCATCTCTGCTTTCAAGGCCAGTTTCAGCCCTCTGAGAGTCACTGGCATGACTGAGAGGCAGGATCCCACTGTGGCAGACCGAGCTGCGGTCAGCAGGCCCAGGTGATGATTTTCTTTGAAATCCGTTCCTCTCACGCCATCTCCTGGTCAGCTCTTCGAGGTTAACTTAGATCTGAAATCCTTCTGCTAACCCTTCTCTGGTCCGTTCCCCGCAGGAAGATGTCCTTGTTTGTTGAGAATATCACCATCCTCTTTCCTTGTTGTTCCTGTTGCTTTCCTCTGGTGCGTGATGAGCAGCAGACATGTTGCTGATGGCACTTGCTTGTGAATAGACGTGTTGCAGAAAGTTGCCTGTATTGAGCATGGTCTGTTCACAGCTATGCATGTCACACCATGAGCTCCATCCTCATTTAGATACACAGCAGTTCTGCATAAGCAGAAGTTACCTTGATGAGCACAAGGAGTCAGTGATCTAATCAATGCACCCATGAATCGTTCATGAATAGAGGGGAAATTGTTTCTTCAACAGACTTTGGAATTGCCAGAGACAGTGATTGTCTGAGAAGTCTGGATATAAGGAAAAAGTCTTTTACAGAGAGGGTGGTGAGGCGCTGGAACAGGTTGCCCAGAGATGTGGTGGATGCCCTGTCCCTTCAAGGCGAGGCTGGATCAGGCCCTGAGCAATCTGCTCTAGCTATGGATGCCACTGTTCATTGCACAGGAGTTGGACTAAATGACCTTTAAAGGTTCCTCCCAATTCCAAGGATTCTGAGATTCTATGAACTTGAACTCTTATCTTCTGCTCCAGGAAGAGTCTGTCTTCTGTAGCTAGGAAGGAAGAGTGAAAATAATGACTATATTTCACAATTAAAGAAGCTAGAGGAGTTCTACACATTTCCCCACCCCTCAGGCTGTTTTATGTGGGTTATAATCATACTCTCTTTATTTTTATCTTGTGTGGTGTGTGGGGAAAAAAAAAACAAAACAACAGGAACAACTGGTAGCTCTTGGTAGCTCCTATAGTGCTCTATTGCTTGGTATGTGGCCCTCTGTATCTGACTCCCAGAGGAGACTGAGGAGTTGCAGTTTGGGCTGTGAAGTTGTCATGCAATTCTATGGGCACCAGGTAGGAGTGACGGCCATTTAGAATGCTCATCTGTAGCTGTTAGATAAGCTGTATTTCCAGAATGTGCCAAATACATGAAATCAAAGGGTTGGTTTCAGAAAGTCTGAAGTCAGTCTGAAATGTAAGCCTTTGTCCTCATAGAAGATTAACAAAGCTTTTAAAAAGCTTTGTAGTTTTTGAGTTTTTGCTTCTAGCCAACAGCAGAAGCTCCAACCCCTGAGAAATAAACGTGTGTGGGCTTCTCTCCCATGCCGTTCTTCCCCTTAAGCAGGGCAGTGAAGGGCTGACTTGAGATTCGGTTCTTCTGGATGTGCAGTAATGGCATTTAGAGATATTTTGTGTGACTAATCAATCCCAAAAACAACAGGAGCCTGATGACTGGAGCTATGGCTGCTCCCCTTGAAGAAGAATGCAGCTCTCAGCTGTGCTAGGAGCTGCACATCTGTTGACACATGAAGCAGTGGGCAATGCCACTGAACAAGTAGGGATATAAGAGACCCAGGGCACACTGAGTGATAGCCATCAGATCAACATGACTGAGACTGGTCGTGGCAGTGCTGCTCTGGATTAAGAGATTACTGTATTTCACTGCTTTTCTTCCATCTCTCTTGGTAAGTTGTGCTCTGCCAAAATAACCACACGTGTAGGCACTCCCTAACCTAGTTCTGTCAAAATGATGCAGGTTAGGTGCTGCTGATGGGTTTTTTTGTTTCTTCTTAATAGGGAACAAGGAGCCTCAAGGCCAGGTTCCCTCTTTTGGCCCTTTCTCAACTTCTATTAGAATAACAGCATGTGACATCCAAATTATACTCTGTTGAAGTGTGTGTGATCAGCTCTTGATTGGAATGCCTCTGTAAGTAAAAGAAACGGAACAAAAAGCATGAGATCTTATAAGCAAACAGTCCCTCAGAAATCTGCCAGTTCCTGGAAGAGTTAACTCATTTAAAAACCTTTTAGTGAGAGATATCAGTGACGTGGATGCGTTTGCAGCAGCTGTGGATGTTGCAGTAACAATGAGTGGAGGCAGTTTATCAGCACATCAGTTATTTTCCTGGTATAAAAAGGAGCTTTAATTGGACGACCAATGATGGTTTTTGATCTAATGATGAAGCTATCTGGCCATCACAAAATTATCTTTCAATGAGCTCATCTGTTTTGCAAGGAAGAAACTCATAATCTCATAGAAAGGAAAATGTGCTGCCTATTTTTAGTCACTGATTTTATTTGTAAGGAGTATCATGACTTCACAAGCGCAGCGGCACCAATCTCCCTGGTAAAGCATTTATCTTAATCTAAAGGGAGCTGTTTGCAGCAAAGCCAGCTCCATGCTTAAAAGGGCCATTGAACAGATTTGCAGTGCTGCCTCTCATTTGCTTGTAAAAGCACCCGGTGGTTCAGCCTGTCCTGAATGCACAGCAGCCCAAGGGCCAGGCCACTGCGTGCAGCAGAGACAAATGGAAAATGAGTTAATCAGAAAGCAGAGGTGGCTAGTGATCCAGATCTATGGAACCAGACCTGCTTGTTAGTAATTCCAGTCATTCAAAGCCTCAGGTGTGGGTTTGATGCGACACACATCTTCAGCCAGACGTGGAACCAACCTTGTAGGATGCATGCATCTGGGGGATGGCACCAGGGCCATGAGGGCTCTGCAGGAAGGGAGCATGGGTGCACAGCATCTGCACTGCTGCTCTACCTGGCTCTGGGCTTCCTGCCTTGCAGCTGCAGCATCTACTGTCAGCTAGCTCAAGGGCTGCAGCTGTCTGGGAGAGGATAATTCAGCCTTGAGTCATGCAGGAACAGAAAGAGGAGCAGTGCTCCCTTTTCTCACTCTTTGCTTGCTTTCAGCCTGTGCTACTGTAACCTCCCCTTTTGGGCCCTGGGCTCGGTGACTAAAAAGATAAGCAGATTGGTCCAGGAGGATAAGCTATGACAGTGTCAGCTGGAAAGGCCAGATGTAATAGCGTTCCTTTAAATCATAATCCTTCATGTAGTATCACACTTGGTTGTCATAGAAACTGTGACATCACTGAGATTTACAGCTCTGATCCAGCAGAACGGTGGAGCATTTGCTTTTAATATAAAGGATGTGCTTAAATCCCAGTTATTTTTATGGCACTGCTTGTCTGTCTAGGAAAGAAAAAAAAAAGCCTACACTTGATTCTTTTTTTCCCTAGATGGGAGTGATGTGACACAGTTGGTTGCTTTAGTTAAGCCCAATCAGTGTTTGTGTGTCGCAGTCATCAAAATTACAAATACAGGGCGGATCTAGAGATAGTGCAAGCATGAGATTTCTTAAGTGAATACGTTGCAAATTGAATATTTGATTAGATCTCGTCACCATCTCTGCTTCTGCAACCTGAAAAAGTGTTAGAACAAGCTGGGTTGTTTTCATAACTACCTCCAACACTTAAGATGGAAATTTTAGTTTTCTTGACCGTATGGAGAAAAGAGATTTTTAAAAGAATCTAGAAAATGTAGAAGTTTGGTCATAATTTCAGTCCAACACAAGCAGCCGTACTGCCAAGTTAAGTAACTGTTTGGACCTACCTGCTCACATGGTATTTACATTTTTCTTTTCAAACCTGGTTTCTGGGTTAAGTGTTTAAGAATGGCTGTTCTCATTTTTAAGGTATTTTTTAGCACACTAACCAGCTGAGAAATATGAACGCATTCCCCTGCCTCCAGGAATGCAAACAAATTGGTGCAAAGGCGAGGCGTTGTTCTGCCAGTGTTGGGCAGGCAGAAATGGTGGTAATAACTTCACATTAATGCAGTGCATTTGTGACACTTTGTGACAGCACAGAAACAAGATCCTAACGCTTCTATGGGAAAAAGCCAGCTGGATCACAACTCGCTTCCAATTCAGAGAATTCTTGTAGCTTGTAGGCAGGTCTTTCTGCTTGCTACGATCCACCAGCTGGTAGATCACCGGTCCTAAAACCTCCGTACAAAAAGCTGAATGCGTGTGAATGGAAAAAAAAAGACTTGAAAACACTACCAGCTTTTCTCCGTGCCTGGAGGGGAAGCCGTACATCCTCCTATGACTGCACGAAGAGAAATCACTAATAGCCTCCTCCTGAAGGTAAGGGCGAATGCCTGGCGCTGTGGGACCGCCTGCTTCCATCCGTCCGTGCAGCACGGCGGCTCGGCGCCGGGTGGCAGTGCGCGCTCGCTGCATTGCGTTACCGACAGGAGCGGACGGGTCCCGCTGGGCACGGGGCTGGTAGAGCTGGTCGGGCTGCCTCAGCTGCGCCACGAACTGACGCGGTGTGGTGAGGCTGGGTGAGACATTTAGCTCGTGTTTTCTTTCCGCTTTGTTTTTCTCACTTAAATGTTCCGCTTCCTTTCTAGATATCAATGCTAAATAAACCGTCATGGAATCGCAGGGGTTGGAAGGGAACTCAAGAGGTCATTGAGTCTAACCCCCCTGCTAAAGCAGCTCCCTACAGATTGGCATCCAGGTTGGTCTTGAATATCTCCATAGAAGGAGACCTCACCACCCACCACCTCTCTGCACAGCCTGTTCCAGTGCTCCGTCACCCCCTTACCATAAAGTTCTTCTGCAAGTTTGTATGGAACTTCTGTGTTCAAATTTTAGGTCATTACTCCTTGTTCTATCACTACACACCACTGAGAAGAGCATGGCCTCATCCCTTTGCCCCTTTAGGTATTTATTACCATTAATCAGACTCCCCTCCCTCCTTCCCTCTCCCCCCCAGTCTTCCCCAGGCTGGACAGACCCAGGTTACTCCTCATCCTTTCCTCATATGGGAGATGCTCCAGGCCCTGTATCATCTTTGTGGCCCTCCATTGCACTCCTGGGAGATCCCTGTCTTTTTGGAACTGGGGAGCACCTGTGAACTGAACACAGTATTCTAAATGTGGCCTCACCAGCGCAGAGTAAAGGGGAGGATCACCTCCCTCGACTTGCTGGCTGTGCTCTTTTTAATGCACCCCAGGATACCACTGACCTTGTTGGCCACTGCTGGCTCACGGCCAACCAGTTGTCCAACAGGACCCCCAGGTCCTTCTCTGCAGAGCTCTTCTCCACCAGGTTCCTCCCCTAATCTGTACTGATGCGTGCAGTTATTACCCCCCAGGTGCAAGACTCTACACTTGCCCTCATTAAACCTCATCAGGTTCCTCCCTGCCCAAATGGGAAAGGGTGAGGGGATTTACAGCGTGATCCCAAGCAAGATGGAGTGTAATGGTGCTATAAAATCATAAATCAATAGGAAACTATCATTTACTAGGCTTGTGGCTAAAAATCAAGGGATTGTTTTTTTACTTCTGATTTTTACAATTTTCTATACCTCTTGGAATTATTTCCCATTATTCAAAATGCCTCTCTGTCATCTGATAATGTCACTTGTCTGTCTCTGCTGGACCACTATGAAAGCCTCAAGAACAGCTCTGACACAGCAGAACCATCATCTGTTTTAAACGTGCAAAATACCTTTCTCTGCTCAGTAACTTGCTGTTTTTATTTCTTCTGCACAATTAAGCCAGTTGTCAAGCAATGTGGTTACTCTAATATCAAAAGTAATGTAAATTAGTATATTTTTACAGATTGTTATGATTTAGTCTTTTGTTTGAAGCCAGATATGTTGGTTCTGCTAGGTCACTTTTATTGAATGATTCTGATTTGCACACTTTTATCACACTTATATATGGTAAAGTCAGATTTACAGAGTTGTAATTGCGGGGTTTGTTCTTCTCTGTGTTTCATCTTGTGATTTATTCTGAGACTGCCGCTTTCTGGGATGTTTTCTGTGTCTTTTTCTCAGTAATCACGTAACTTCTCTTATAGCATGTCAGAAACTGAGTCAGACTGTCAGTCTTATGACAGAGAAAATTCTCATCTGTCCTTTTTCCCTTGAAGTTAAGAGGGTCAGTTATTAAAAATGTACTTCACTATTTTTTTTTTAGTGCTCTCTACCAAGCTCGATTTCTTGTGTGTTGGATATTTAAGGGTTACTGGATGCAAAGTATGTAAAAGATCCAATACCAGCACTTTGCACATCCGGAATTGTTGTTTATGGACCCCTGTGACCTCCAAATCAGAGACTGATTGAAAATCACTAGCCTAGCTCACCGATGTTTTAATTTGAATGGATAGTGTATGACCGTGGGTGAAGCATGGCCTGCTCTGTTGTGATGGTAGTGGGAAAAAATGCTTATGTGGTGCACTAGGGAGCAACTTATGAACTCGCATCAACTCTTTTCTATGAAAAAAAACCTTCAGAATGAGCTCAGATGCATGTGCTTCTCCAGGGGCCCCAGGCCTAGAGCCCCCTGCAAGCCTCACTCCTCCATGTTCCCTGTAAGCATTCCCAGCACACAGGAGTGGACAACACTCCAAGTGTGGACACTGACAGCTCCATGGTGCTTTCTATGCTCCCCTTCAGCAAGGAGGGTGCGAGGGTTGGGATATGGCCAGAGATGGTGCAGTTGGGACTGTTCCAGATTCATAACAAAGCTTCTGTGGTGTAAGCTCCAGACCTGGGGACTTGGGGTATCTTGCCAACTCAGATCCCTGGCCTGATATTTTGAGTACTGATAGATTTAACTGTTGCCCTGCTTATCAAAATAAGGAACAAGAAAGGGAAATGTTGCATCTTTAACTGTTCTTAAGGTTGCATCTTAGCAATTTTAGTCCTCTGACGATCTGCCCATTTACCTGCCTTGCCCTCCTCCCAAAGGCGTTCAGCAGGACTGAGACTGGCATCTGACCTCTGCTTCTGTCCATCCCTTTTAAGCTGCTGTGCTGACAAGGGAAGATAAGCTTGCTGAGCCCCTTAAGGCTTATGTCTCTGTGTGGACTGCAGAGAAGGGTTGTGAGTCCCAAGGAGTCCAGGGAAGTTGTTCTGTTCTTATGCTCTGAATGATGCTGCATGCAGCCACCTCTCCTGTCAACCAGATGAGGTTTTGGAATCATGATAACAAGTTTTCCTTTTTTTTTTTTTTCCATGGCTCATTCTGCTTTGTTATTAAATGATAAGCTTCAGATATAGCTGCATGATTCCTTACTGCCTTCATAAATGTGTTTTTTAACCTGCTTTTAAGAGGCTGCATGGGCCATAAAGAGCACAAGTTGTATTCTCTCACAGTGCATTTTGAAATACTTGCATGCCAAGAGTTTGGTTTTGGATATACTTGTACAGCAGATTCTAATGCCCATCTGCAGCACTGCAAGACTGTGATTAACATGGCTTTGCTTTCCTCAGATACTTTTTGCCAATAAATCAATTCCTGAAACTTTCACATGGAACAAAATCATACTTGTTTTGCAGACGTTATTTAACTTTTGAATGTTCTGAAACACATACTGCTTAGCTATATATGTGTATGAATACAGCTAGAATGACAAATCTACAAATGGTGAAGAAATCTGCAGAAAGATTATTGTTGTTTTCTATACAGGTTTGCAAATGCTTTTTGCTGGCTAAGCAACACACTCTGAGGAGGAACCTATTGGACTCAGCTGTCAAAACCACAGGGATGGACTCAGAACTGGGACTGGAAACTACTTCAGCAGTCTGAGACCATTCTGGGTAAAGCTGTGTTACACTGCTAGGGTCTGTTTAATATTAAAGCTTGTGGCTGTAAAATAAGTGCCTGCTGACATACTTTGCCACCTACCCCTGTCAAAATTTGGGCTCTGTTTGCCTAAAGTTGCTTTAGGGTGGGTTGGTTTCAAAAGGATATTCTTCAGCTGTTGCAGCCTTTAAAATTCAAGGAGGTATTTGAGGAACTAAGCAGTCTTGGCTCCATTGCTTACTGTGTTTCTTGAAGCCGTATTGCACAGCAGTGTTTTTAACTTTCATGCACTGACATACTGTTTTCCTAAAATACTTTGAAAGCAACTTCGTTATTGAAGCTATGACTTGGTTGCTCAGAGCTCAGGAGTTGACACAAAGGTGTGGCTTTAGTAACTGAGGCAGCTTGGACTGTATCTTGGAAAAGCCGGATCTTGTTGACTCACTGTTTCTGCCTTGTCTGAGGTTCCAGCTGAGCTTTCCTGCCTCATTTTTCTCCATATGAGGACATCCACTATTATTTACCTTTTCTGGGCCTGCATTCTTCTGCTGCCTGTGAAAAAAATTGCTTATTCGACACCAAGATCAACTATTATCAAATTGCCTAATATAATCGTACTGTATGCCCAGGCTGGATGTGGCTCTGGGCAGCCTGGTCTGGTGGTTGGTGACCCTGCAGTAGCAGGGGGGTGAAGCTAGATGATCGTTGTGGTCCTTTTCAATCCAGGCCATTCTATGATTATCCATCACTAAAAAACAGTTTAGACTTCCCTCCCATCTCATTAACTTTGTTTTTTTCTTTCTTCTGCTAAGGTTTGGGGTTACAAAAGATCAGGATCTTACTTCTAAAATGCCACTTCCTTCTTTGGTGCTTGCTATTTATCTCAGATAAGTGAGATCAGAATTAAATAAAGGCCCTTTCTAAGGGCTAAGCTGTAAGTGACAGAAATAAAACAAACAAAAAACCAACCCACAAGCACAGAACCATAAGCTGTTCTCAGAGAGTCCTCTGATAGGCACAAACACTCACCTGAGTGTGCAAATGCTTCAGTCAGAGGTTAAGCTGGAAACACAGCACACCTGAAAGAGGCATTCACAAGAACAATAGAACTAAAATACACTGAGATCCATCTGTGCTCTTTTAAGGTCCTTTCTATCAGTCCTAGACAGCTTCTGATGCTTCCATCCTACATCATCATTCGTTTCCTTCTTATGAGCTCATCCTGGACTCCTCTTCATCCATTGCTGCTTGGCTCTCTGTCCCACCAGGGCCGTGACTAGCTGATATGCTGGAGACAGAACTAGCAGTGAATACTAATGGAAAAAATCATTTTAGTCTGAACTTTTTTTTTCTTGCCAGTTCTGTTTGAGAAAGCAATGAGGAATTTTCTGTTTTCTGACAGTTTCAATTGAGGGCTCTTAAGAAACTTGTTCTAGATAAAGAAATAAAAGAAACGGAGGACTATGAAGGCATGTCCTCTTCCTAACAGAGAGGTTTGGTTGAACTGCAGACCCATGGAAGGGGAAATCTAGTTCTGTAATAAATAGAGGGAGGTCCCCATGATGTCAATGATGTACAGATAGGAAAGAAGGCAGAAGATGATGGTGCTTTCAGGCAGTATCGATCAGGGGAACTTGAGAGTGTCTGTAATCACTGGAATTTAATGCAGTGCTCCCGAGGCTCTTTATCAAGATTTATTTCCTTTATTACCTAGAAATGTCAGGTCTTTTCCCATGTGCATTCATTTTGGTTTCGGGGAAAGTCAGGATTTCCTAAGTCATCCTGTGACCAGCATAGCATTCATGTCAAAGCCCTGGGCAAGTCCCCAAAGGAAGGACTGAGTCAGACACGATGAACAGCTCTCTACACCTCTGAAGCAGTTTCTGTGTTGCAGAGAACAAGGCATCCCCAGTGCGTGTTCTCAAGGACTTCAACAAAATGAATTCACAGGCAGAGATGCAGTGTCACAGCATTGCACAATGCCTACTAAATATGGAGGAGTGCAACAGAATGTCGGGGAGTGGTGGCTGTGCAGCTGCATGTTGCTTCTTGAAGCCTGCAACGAAAAGGCAGACTGAAGGAACAGGGGAATGTTTTGCCAGACTTAAACAGCATATGGCTTGCAGGCTGTGCTTGGCCAATGTAGCAGTTTGTTTGGCCTGCCAGATGGCCGGGAGACGCCATGCTGCTTGCATGGCTGGGTGCCTTCCACCAGCTGGGCAGCCAGCACAGGCATGGCACCTCCCAGCCAGCCGGCATGTCCTCACCCTGCAGCTGCCCAAAACCTGGGTGTCACAGGCAGCAAGAGACACAGGGAGGGCAGGTGGGTGGGAACCTTGCAGGTGGACAGGGAGAACGGGAGACCGGAGGTAGGAATAGAGACAGTTCTGGGAAGGGTGTGACAAAACAGTCGTTTGAACTTGCTGAGCCTACCTACCTCTCTGCTGTAGTGAGGCATTCTAGGCCAAAATCCCATTGTGTGAGTGAAATAGGGCTGAGTCACCAGATTCATTCCTCTGCTGTTTCATGCATCACATCATGTAACACATAACAAGGGCTGGTTGGTTTGGTTTTGTCTCCAGTGTTCCCACAGAAAGACTCTTCCAGGTCCTCCCTTTCCAATAGGTAGACTTGTAATTTTCTGCTGTTTATTTATGGCTTATTTGCCCTTACACTTAAATCTTCTTTGTGATGATACCTCGACAGACAACTGTCCTATTTGCTCCATTGTCACTTTGCAGGCTCCACAGTCAGAGCCAATGCAGTTGAGCCCTTCTAGGAAAGCTGAGTCGCACTCACGTTACAATAGGCATCTTTCAAATGATACTTGAGGGAAAAGGAAATAATAAAACTGTATCTTTCTACTCTCCTTGGTTTTCCTGGCCTTTTTCATGCAGAGCTTTTAGCTACTGTTGCTCCTTCCTGGCCTCTGTGGTAGCAAAGCATGGTCTCCATGGGGAAGGACAGATGCTGTCAAGCCCACAGATGCAGGTGCTTGGAGCTGGGCCTGCACTTGACTGTTTTTCTGGATTGAGATAGGAGCTCTCACCACTTGAAAAGATCCAGGTTGTGGTTTATGTAGTGCTGCCAGTTCCTCTGGAGTTAAGGAATTTTATATAAAACATCAATTTTTGCAAAGGAAAAGGAAAAAACATCAGGTGTGTGCATGTGTGTGTGCAGTACATTAACTAAAAGCTGCTTGGGAAACAGCAAAAATTCTCTGCCGTGGTGTGACTTCATTGCAGCTATCCCTTTGTGCCATTTGAGAGATAGTCCTCATCCCCAAACACACAACTGTCAATGGATAAAGCAGTGACGGAAAGTGTTGGAGGAGGGAGGGAGGATACAGAGCGGACTTGACCTGACGAAGCAGAGCTAGGAGCAGCCTCTGTCCCTCAGTGTTGTGAGCATCCACTTTGCTCTCAGACTTCGGGGGAGGGGACAGATAGAAATATATGAACTGTTACAGAGGAACTTCAATGAAACGCTCGTGTTTGTGTTTTTTTTAATTGGCCTCTATCGCCCCATTTCAGCTGGACGCGGAGTTCTGTTCGTACCAATCCATCGGGACACGGGCTGACTTCTCGCAGCGGCGGTGGGACCGCGCGTGGTGCGGAGCGCAGGTACGTGATGGCGGGGATCGGGGGGCGGGGCGGAGCACAGCCCGGGGGCGGCGGCGGGGCGGAGCGGGGACGGGCCCGGCCAGCCCTGCTGCGTGCGTCCCGGGCCTCGGGGCCGGCCTAGCGCGGGGATGGCGGGGCAACT